CCCTGATAGTCACTTTGTGCTTTGCAAGGTATCTTAGACTGAATGCTGTAACTGATACTCTGTCAAGATTAAAATGCCCACAAATGCCAGACAACAATCTGACAGATGTCTAACTCAAATGTGGCTTGTTACAGCAAACGTTAATAGCAAATAAAATAGTAGTTTAAAGTGAAATTAATAAAAATAATGTGTTGTTATTTACAAAGCAGTTGTCCAAGGAAACATGAATCAGGTGTAGTTCCGGACCTTATCCAGGAATAACACAAGCTACAAACACGTATTACATGTGCCCCACATGAGGAATACACACTATTCTTCCATTATCTCTTCAAAGGAGGTATAAACTGGCACTGGAGTCCCTACTCAATTGTGGATATTTCAGTTTATTCAGCCAACTTATGAATGCTACATGAAAAGTGGATTATACTGTGCATATATTAAGCATCTCAACAGAAGATAATCTGTATGAAGCCCTTAGTTCCATCACAGGAATCTCAAATTCTCTGTTGTTATTCAATTGTGAATGTAAGGTGCCTGCCAGATGTATTCTGATATTTTAACCAAACACGAATAGCCAAGGAAGTCATTCTTCCACGACATTGCCATAACCAAAGGAACAAATCAACCTGCTTCTCTCCCATTATTTAACTTTAGTCATTAAGACTACAGTGATATGAGGGGCTCTCGGTATGGGTGTGTGGTGGAAAGAGTGAGCTGTCAGTAGATTTGGTTTCAATTTTTAGAGTGACTCTCCAAATCATTCTTCTTGTTATTGTTTACTTTTCATTTTTAAATTATGTTACTGACTGATACTCATAGAGAAGTATTAGTGTGTGTGTGTGTCTTGGAAGCCCATCATACCCTAAAATACAGATTATTAGGACATAAAGAATAAAAAAAAAAAAACTTAATTCATACACAGGTGAACAGTATATACCAAGACAAACAGAATAGCTTGTACAGTATTTTCTTATCAGTTAATCTGCAGAGCCTGAGAATTTTTTCTAACTAAATCACATGCTCGTTTTTAGTGAATATTTATTTATTAACGGAAAACTAACTACAACATAAAATAGCTAGGTTGATCAAATAAAATACAATATCATTTGATCACATTTTCAATATTTCATTTTGTGTATTACAACCCAAAATAGGACATTATTTTCTTTGCCAATGTCATTATTTGGCACAGAAGTCTATTTACACAAGGGCTTGTTTCATTTGCTGTTTATTCCAGTAACTTGAGAACAATTATTCGCAACTAAATCTAACAGTATTTGTACAAGTACTTTCAAGCTAAAATACCGCTAAAAAATTCCAACACACATGCAATTCAATATGTTTACATAATAATGTATATTTATTACAAAACCTGTGACTCGAAGCACTTTATAGAATGTGAATACAGGAGTCACTCTACCCTCTAAGGAAACGTGGTCATATCTGGGAGAGGGGTTGCTGCCGAGCAGGAGTCCCACGTTCAACAGAGCTGAAATGGATTGGCTACTCGGTCTGTCCAGGAATGCTACTTTAGCATCCTAGAATCACTTGATAGCTTGCTTCACACCAACTGCAGTAGACTTCCAAGTCTAGGCCCTTAGCAACCAACGCACTGGCAGCTCAAGCAGCACAGGAAAAATACTCTTATTATACACATGGGCTCTATTTTAGGCAAAGTCAATACTGAAAATCCAAACATACAAAACAGATAATTTCGAATGGTTATTTGTATTATAAAATGGATCTCTGCTTTATAAAAAGATTTACAAGTTTCCTCTAATTGGCAAGTCCCTTGATGAATTTAAAATACAATTTGATTTACAAAATTTCCGTTTATATGTGACTTTCTGTACAACCGCGTGAGAATCACAGTACACATATATACAGTACTGAATTTTCTCTCCCAATTAAGTGTCCTATAGTTGTTTTGATAAGAGACACTTAAGCCAAAGTATTACTTCTTAAGCCACTGAAATAGAAAGTAAATATTGCATGTAAAACACAACTATTCCAGAAAATGTAAGTACATCTGTGATGTTGTATTTACAATCTTGACAGTCAACTTGATAAAGCAGATCTTTAGATAGCACACATACAAAGCTATCTACAGGTCCTAAGATTAAGCCCAATTTTGAAGTCATTTGTTTTATTTTGGTGGTATTTTTCCTTTTTAGTTATGTAATTCCAAAGAGATACTAATGTTTATGTTGTTGTTGCCAGTGTATTTATATCAGTTTTATACCTCAATGCACAGAAACAAACAAACAAAAAAATCCAACCTCCTGTGTTGTATGATTGTTCTCACTGTTTACGCTGGCTGACTGTCACTCTGGTAAAGTTCTTCTCTATTTGCACTAAGTTACTTGCCAGGTGGGAAGGGAATCTTATTTTGGGTGGGGAGTAAAGAGGGTAAAGTGAGAGCTGTAGAGACCTGTCTACTGGGTCCCTCTGCTCCCTCAACGCTGGGCAGAGCCTGGCACCTAGGAAACAAACGCTCAAGAAATACTCATTGAATGAAGAAAGAATGGATTAGGATTGGCTGGAAGTATTTCTGCACTCTAGCATCCAATCCAGTATGTTTGGGGAATGTGTACAAAGGAATTTTCAGGATCTGAAAAATTCCAGAACCTCTTTCTCTTGCCCATTACCCGCTTTTTGTAAAATGCTTAAAATATTGAGCCCTTGAAGACATGGAATCATTTAGAAAAATTAGGTCACCATAGAGGTCAGAGGACAAAAAAGCAGAAGTTAAAGAGTCATTTCCTTACTCACCAAGTGCTGGAGGAAACAAGGCACACAGGCTGAACAAAACACAGAACCAAATTCGCCTTTTGGCAATAGTGTTGAGTCAGAGAAGTGGTTCTCAGTACAAATTTAGCCACAGGTATACTCAGAAACAGAGAAAGCAGCTAATTAAAGCTAGAATCAAAGGGAATTACCACTTGCCATTTGTAGGGCCACATATCTAGGTCTGTGCCAGGCAGAACCCTGGGAACGGCATTCTGTTGGCTTGAATCCTTTCGCAGTGCTGCAGCTCACACCCATTACAAGCTGCATGTGAAGTAAAAGGAAATAAAATCCAGCTGGAGGAGATAAAAAATACTAAAATAAAACATGTTTGAAAATGCTCGTGCGGATGAAACAAAACAGAAGACAGTGAGAATGCTAATAAATTAATAAATTTTGATGTGTTTATGATTGCATTAGACAGGAAAGCTTCAAAGCATAATGGGCTATTATGCTTGTAAATGAATTAGTTTGCTACATGCAAACGGTTTCATCTTAAAACCTCCTGCAAACAAAGTATGAATCTAGAGAAACATGGGAGTATAGTAGTAAAGCATAATAGCCAAAGAATTAAAAGAGTAATGAATGATTTTATTATGCATACTGACATTTTATAGGAGTGGCTTTGTTTTCATGAGAATAAGAATACTGAAGTGGAATCAGTACATTGATAGCTTTAGCCATATTTTTAAAGCCTAAACCCTAACGTAATCAAATATTTATTAATTTGCCTTTATTATTGCTTCTCCAGATACCTGCCTCTGTATTCATTATTAATCATTGCACCTAAAGAAGGCGGCCAAAAGAGGATTTTTGAAACTTCTATATAAATACCTCACTGAGTGATGAGATGATTTCCAGGAGTGATTCCAAAGACAACTAGTACAACACTCTGGCTCCTTCTCCATGAAATGCAACATTTTCATAGATTAATTTTCCTGTAGATCATTTCGGCTCACTCAGTTTTAGGTTTGATCTTAAGGATTTAAACAGAAATTGTGATCTCTAATCAAAGAACATCCTAGCTTTTGTTACTGTAGTCACTCAGAGATTTTAGACTATTAAAGGAATTTCTCCTGACTTCCCTTTACATTTATATATGTACAGAGTTATCCTCTGTTGTTTCAAAGCTATTTGGCACCATTAATTATTAATCCAAATAATTTAGATTTAAGTACTTTCTAATTGAAAGCCGTCACATGAATTGTTAATAGCGACAGACAATATACGATTAGTCATTTTAAAGCTTTAAAAGTCAGCTATCAGGATCCACTTCAATCTCCACATGATAATAAAGGATTATTATGTGCAGTAACCTATTTATGAAAAGGAAACAGTGTGCTTCTTTCAGACGCCATCACTTGCTTTAATAAGGAATTCAAAAGCTGGACTACTTTATATGCAGATCACCATCCCAGTTGCATAAGGATTTACAATAGACAAAACAAAACTAGCTTTTGTTGTAAAGAAGGGCTGTTTGTTTAAATCACACAATAATGTTTGCATCTAAAAATTATTTACAGGCTAATAAGGCTTCATAAACGTTATAGAGACTTGCTTAGTTAAACTCGATTTAATGTGAAGACCAAAATGAAAGACTTGCTCAGGCTGACAAGAAAATTTTCAAGTAAAGCCTACCTAAAGAAGGCAGAAGCAAGAAGACGATTGCTGTCATGGTTTAGGTAACTCTTAGCAGATGTGGAGATGCAAATAGTACATGATTTGATAGCACCCCATTAATGCTTCCATTAAATGCAAGGGAAAATGGTGCTTTGCCAGGAAGTGTGAAGATTGAGAGTCCTTAATCTAACATTTGATCCTAAAAGAAATAGAAAGGAATGTATACATTTTTACCTCTGCTGCCTTGAATTTGCAGAGAACTTATTTGGGAAGTTTTAATCTCACCTTTGAAGTTTTCCTTCAAGGTATTTAATGGCTCATATGTCTTTGCTAAATGAGGTGTGTGGCGGCCTCTACTGGTGTGTGTTTATAGAAAATGTTTCAATAGGCAGAAAAAATATTAATTTCAATTAAAAAGTTAGAAATACAGACTCTTTCTTTTAAATATACAAAAATATCTAATTTAATGCAGAAAAAATATATTACACGTTGTGTAATGTATTCTTAACTAGGAAAATAATCTAAAACACCGATTATGTTAGTGTAACATAATGATTTACGAAAGGGCATTAATTGTTGAATCCACTCTGATATTGGGTTAAATATATTTTATTAACGAATTACTAATCCCATATGAGGCAGCTTATTACCTCTAGTCCACTGTTAAATCCCTTTAGTTGACTTAAATAAAATCACTTAAAACAAATCCAGAGGAAAGAAAATATTTTACAGTTAAGTCTATAAAGTCCTAAACTAGGATCATTTGATGGCAGGCTGGTTTCCATAAATCAAGCAAACTGTACGTTGACTTAATATAGCTGACATATAGATCTATTTTACAGTGTTTTCATTTTGAAAAATACAACACATTAAAATATGTTCAATTTATCAAAGCTAAAAGCAACATTTAAGTAATGTACTTAAAGTGCGAAGGCACTTTAACACAAAGAAGTGATGCCCAGTGGCTGTACTTGGTAATTGAAGATGGAAATACCATGTATCATTATTTACAAAAGAAGTTAGAGTCCCAAAAGATCTTTGGAGATCTTCTACAAAAGACACTAATTATCCATTTTCATTGGAACAGTTTGCCTATTCTTCTTTCATTCACTATAATCTCCTCTTTCTACTCCCACACTGAAAAAAAGAAGAAAACGGAAACAAAATCATAAACAAAACATATGAAAAAATGCACTGTAGAAACATTCATGTTCACTGAGAGTTCCTAAGAAGAGAAGGGAAAAAAATAGTGAGGGGGAGAGTGAGAGAGAAATAATTTAAAGGAAAAACTTGCAACAGCAATACCTTTGCTTTACCCCATCTCCCAAATATTTTCCAAGTCCCCCATGAACACCGGGAAGGGGAAACACAAACAAACACAAAAGCAAATGCAGTGCTTCCAACAGTTTGGAGCAGCAGCCTCTGATGCCTTGGGGTTGTAAATGATTTCCCTTCACAGCTGACTGATTGAAGTTTGCTTTTCCAGAACTTCGAGGTAGTCTGGTTCTGATTGTGGCTTAGCTTGCAGTAAAGGGTGGTCAGCCTTTGACTGCCCCACAAAGCATTTCCTGGGAGTTCCATATAAAACGGTTTTATTGATTCTGTCTTGGTTTTGGCGTCGAGATTCATAGGAAGGGGTGAACTGCCTTTTAGGTAAGGTACAAAAGTTATAGTGGACCAGGCCTGTGCTGGGGAGTTCCTTGACCCTCTCAGCAATATTTTGATACAGCAGCTCGGGCTCTCTTGGTGTAGCCTGCTTTTCTAGCAGCTCGGTGGCACTTATTGTGTAAGCTACGGTGGCCGGCTCTTCCTTTTTCTCCTCCAGGTTGCCATAGCTGAATTCTTGCAGGTTGCGGTAATAGGCTACCGGGTCTCCTTCCTTCTGCATGTAGATGGGGTTTTGACACATTTGACCCACAGGTGGAGGGATATAGTTATAGACATGGCCGTCGGTTTTATCATGAGTCTCTGTGTTGTACGACCCATACTGTAACTGGAAAGAACTTATGTCTAAGTTGTTGGCACTCCTGGGGACATTTGGCACTCCCTTTCGGCGTTTGAGGACAAAGACGAACAAGCCGGCCCCAAAACAGACTGACAGGATAAAGACAACTAGCAATCCTAAAATTAAGACAGACAGTGGAACTTCTGTGTGTAGTTCAGGATAGGAACTGGGAGACACACTGAGTGACCGAGGGGTGTCTGTGTTGTGATTCATCGACAGAACGGTCCCATCTGACAAATTCGGACTCTCTGGACAGATGGCTTCCCTTCCCAGAAATTTCAGTATCTCTCCTGCATGCTTAGCAGGAGACTCACAAGTCACCTCATTGATGATGACAGGGGAATTGGCATGTTCGGTCCAATCCTTTAGACCCATGATGTCACAGGTGCAGTCCCATGGGTTCTCTTGCAGATCTATCTGGATAAAAGCCGGCAGCTGATCCAGAACCCCCTTGACAGGCAGGTGTGAAAAATGGTTGTTTCTCAGATTAAGCCTGGTGAGAGCTGTGCCCCCAAATATATTATCGGGTAAGGACCTCAGCAGGTTGTTATTCAGAAACAGAAGCTGGAGGTTAACCAAAGCATCAAAGGTCAGCGGCTTGATTTCCTTAATGACATTATATTCTAAATAGAGATACTGCAAGCTCTGCAACCCATCAAACATAGACGGATACAGCACTTCAAGGTAATTGCCATTCAAATAAAGTCTGCGTAAACTGGTCAGGTTTGTGAAGGCACCTTCCTGAATGACTGCGATCCTGTTGTTTCCTAAATGCAACAAATCCAAAGAACTATAGTCTAAGAGGTCATTCTTATAGACAGTCTGAAGATAGTTCCCTGTTAGGTAGAGTTTCTTTGGACTGGTAGGCTTGGGCTGCAGGTCAGAAATATTAGTGAACTTTCTTTCTTGGCAGTTAACGTTGAGACCATTGTCTGAGCTTTGAGAGGTGCAGACACAGCTACTAGGGCAGGTGAGGGGCACAGGGGACTTGGTCTGGTACACCATGATCGGTCCAAAGCTCTGCCTGTCCTTTGACACAGTCACTCGGGGAGTTGGACGGTTTCTCATTTTGGGTGGCCTGCTGGCTTTTGGAGCTCTGGTAGGGTTGAGAGCAGGATTCATAGTAGGTGACAGCCTTTGGATGTGTGTATCACTGTGGCTGCCCCTTTGACTGGAGTCACCAGCACTTTTTCTGGGACAGAGGTCTTGCCTGGTCAGTTGGGTCACATCTTTCCCATGCAACCTGAAGGGAGTTTCGCAGACAATCTCCCCCACGAAAACAGTTATGGTGTCAAGCCAAGCCTTGAGCGGAAGTAAGTCGCAGGTGCAGTTCCATGGGTTTTCCTCCAGCTGAATCTCCATGATGCCTCCAATGTGCTCCAGCACACCGGCGAAAGGCATCACCTTCAGCCGGTTGCCCCTCAGGTCTAAGTGGGTCAGCAGGACAAACCGAAACACATTGCTGGGCAGTGACAGCAGAAGGTTGTCATTCAAGATGAGGACTTTGAGCTTATTCAGTTTGCTGAATGCCCCCGCCTCGATGGCACTGATGTAATTGTAGTCAGCTTGGAGGTACTCCAGGCTCTCCAGGCCCAGGAAAGTGTCCTCCCTCAATACCTCCAGCTTGTTGTTGTTGAGGTGCAGTCTTTTGAGGGTTTTCAGGCCACTGAAAGCCCCAGTTCCGATCTCCTGCAGCCCGTTGTTACCTAGGTGAAGGGTCACCGCGTTGGAGTAATTGACAAATTCGTTTGGATACAGTCTCGTCAGGAGGTTGCCATTGAGAAAAAGCTGGTAAATTCGATACTGGGGAGGCTGAAGCAGGCTGACAGTTGTAAATCCTTTGTTTTCACAGTTAATATTCAGTACGTTCTCCTTCTCCTCGCACAGGCACCGGATCTTGCAAATGTCTTTGGCAGTTTTTCGACTCTCCGTCTGTAAAATCCCGGCCACGGTTAACACACTGAGGAACCAAACGCCGCTCAGCATCTTTAGGCACCTTCGGTGTCAGCTCAGGTACCTACAGGCAAACCTTGAGTGCGGGGCAGGGGGAGAAAACAGGATGCGGGGAAGAAAGAAACAAGGAAGCCCGATTAAAATGGCAAAGCAAGGAGGCAGAGTGGAAGGGGGGGTGAGGAGGTGGGCAACACAGAGGAATGGAATCACTGCATTTTTTCAAAGCGGTTTCGTCTCTCCTCTCCCCTCCCCCGCCCCCAGCCCACCCACACGCGCGTTCCGGAACACACATGCTTGCACCTGATTTCCCGGCAGGTCGCAGCCAAGCCGCGGAGTCATTAGTAATCGAGTTGTCCTACTAAATCCAGCCCATCTCCTCCTCCCCGGGGTATCTCCAAGAGATCTCAGGCGGCTTGCCCGTCGTGGGCTCGCAGCAGAAATTGCTTTACTTTTTTTCTTTCTTTTTTTTTTTAACTGCGCAAAAAGGGGGTGGGAAAATCAGCCATCAAGGGGCTGGCGGCGAGGATAGAGATGTGAGAGCAGAGACAGCTCAGGGCGGGGGTACTCACACATCAGGAGAAGACAGGACCCCCCTCCTCTGCAGTCCGCCAGGAGTTTAGCATCTTCAGGAAGAGAGGGAGAGCAAGGTAAAAAGAAGTCGCCGCTTCCGGGGGGGGGGGGGTTGTCCTGCTTTTGGTCGGTCGCTTTAATTTGGTTAGGGGGTGCTCAGAAATTAAAAATCCGGCAGGCGGCAGGAGAGGAAGCCAAGGGTGGGAGCGCCGGGAAGCTGCGCCGCCCGGGAGCAGGGGTGCGATTGCGCAGGGAGGTCGCGGAGCCGGCCGGCTCCAGCAGCGGGCGGCGGCCACAGCAGAGCCTGGGCGCGCGCTTCCAATCCTGTGGCGGCGGCGGCAGTGCGTCTGGCAGTTTGAATTTGAGAGGCTTTGCAGGCTCTCCGGGACAGGACTGGGGTGACGTCACGGGGGGAGGGTGTAGGCAGAGGATCGAGGGCGCGCGGTGGGGGAGGGTGGGGCAGATGTTCCCTTCGCTGTGAGTGGCTTGGCAAAGCTCAATTCGAGGCTGTCAGTGGGTTGGTTCTGAACTACTCCATCTCCAACTGGACGGCGGTGCGGGAAGTCCCCGCAGGGGGTCTCTGCAAGAGTGACCTATTAAGGTGCTGGCACCGCCAGAAGTCCTTCTCTCGCCCCTCCGGTCGCTTCTATCCCCTCTCTTACATAGTGCGTGAAGGACAGCGACCTGGGCCATTCCAGGGGGGCTTTCCAGCAGGGGTCCAGAACCCTTCTCAGGAGAGACTCTCTGTGTGTGCCTATTGCTTGCCTGTCAGTGTGTGTGTATCCAGCTTGGATGCTGGGTGCAGAAAGTGAGGTGTCTGTGCTTACCCAGTTTGTCTGTGTAGGAGGGAGAGGAGTTCTCCTAGGGGATTCATGCTACAGACAGAGCCTTGTTTTCAGCGCTGAGAGCGTCACTTTTCTTGGTGGTGACCGGCCAAATCCATATTACCCTGGATTCCCAAAGCTAGTTCACCGCTGGCTTGTGGACTGAGATAAACAAAAAGAAAACCTTTCTCCTGGTGAGCTTTATACCTAGCTAGGTGATGGGATTTAACCGTGTGCTTTTTGCCTGGAGGAAGAAGAGGAGTTGGTGTCAGAAAGGCACTTGCAGGCTGAGCCTGAGCAGGAAAGGGGAGCCCAGAGAAGGGCACTGGAGCCCTCCAGGCTGCAGGGCTGGGGGATCCTGGACCATAGAAGAAGGAGGTGAAGGATAATTACCTCCAGGAGGAAATGGGAGAGCAAAGGCGTCCTGACCCCTGGGACCCAGCACGGGAGGGTCTCAGCTAGCTCTGTGCCAAGTGTGTCTTCTTTCCATTTGTAGATTCTGTGGGCCCTCCTGGCTCTGACATTCAATCTGGGATCAAATAACCTTTCCAGAGCATTACTCATGGCCAGGTGTTGGATTTTTGCCTTCATTATCTCCTTTCTTCTTAATTATCTTACAGTTCCAGCCTGGGATCCCAGTGTGAGTCCATTTGCAAGGTGTGAATAATGTCTGGTGTGTCCTGGAAGGACAAGGCCTGCCTCTTTTGGGGTGGGCAGATATGCCAGGAAATAAATGCATGAAATAGAGACAAGGAACTAAATGCTATGCCTATCCCACAAAACACCTCAGCTTGCTTTCCCTTCCTACTCCTTCCCAGACCTGCTAGGGAGAGTCAGCGTCGGGTCTCTATTACCTGGCCAAATGCCAGAGAGGCAGTCACACGGGCCAAATGAGCCATTTGAAAGTGGAAAGCCTACTGCTTTCTCCTTTATTTTTTCCTGTTAAGCCCTGGTCATGGGATTGGGCAGTTGACACAACTGCTTCCTTCCCAAGAAAAGCTGGGGCACTTCACAAACTTAGGTACTCAGTCAACCTGTGGCTCTGGCCATGTCCTGGACTTTTTCTCTACCTTTTGCCCTTCTCCTTCCATAGAGGAATCCTCTTTACTGTTCTAATGCTCCTTTGCACTTTGGCCAGATCCTTTCCTTTCCCTCTCAGTCTCAAATTTTCCTTCTCTGGGCCCCATGACAACCTTGAGATGTGCAGTCTAGAGGGACTGAGACTTCCGTTGACAGCCTGTGCCTCCTCACTGCAGTTGCATCATTAGATGCAAGCAGGGGGCTGCATCTCAAGCACAGTTAGGCTCCCTTTCATAGCAAAGGGGCATTTGTTTATGTATTCCCAACTTTTAAAGGACGATTGTTCCCAGAAAGATGCGGTGTTTTCATTCATTCAGTCCTGCAACACACAGACTAGGCCAACTGTTTGTGGAAATAGAATCCAATGTGACAGCTGGACAAGACCTTAGAAATCAAGTCTGTTTTACAGATGAAGAAGTTCTTCAACCAGGGGAAATGCTGACATGGTTAAATTCAAGACATTAAAATTAAAAACAGAACACTGGGGTTCTGAGTCCAGCAATTTCCAACGGACCCATTGCATTTTAACATAAATTAGAGAAAAATTGTCTACTTAAATTCAAAGTAGTGGTCATATATATATATATATATATAGTTTTAAGTGAAGTATCAATATTAGTTCTCATTTGCAAACATTAAATTTTCACATTGAGGGATACTGTTAATAGTACTGGAGGACAGAGGTTATTTTGCTGGAAATATTGGAGGGAGGGAGGGAGACAGACAGAGAAAGAGAAAAAAAGAAGAGAAGAAGGGAAGAGGCGAGAAGAGAAGAGAAGAGAAGAGAAGAGAAGAGAAGAAGAGGAGAGAAGAGGGGGTTGTCTGTTCTTGAAATTCTTGACAATTACAGGATGAAGATGGGAAGCCAGCCTAGTGAAGGGACACAGAGACATTGGTGGCTAGTCTTCACTCTGTGGCCAGCGTCCTACAAGGGTTGACTGATCCTTCCACTGCTCTCTCCTGCCTGTGTACGAGCTGAGTGTTCACCGCTACTTTCTGAGACACGGGCATTGGGAAAGCATCGGCCACAGAGCCCATGGGCACTTTTTACTAAGTTTCCCCGGGGCCCCGCGCCTTAGTAAGCACTGCCGCAGCACCCTGGAAGAGGAGGCTTTTGGGGCGGGTGCGAAGGTTCTGGGTGCACTTCGAGCCCCAGAGAGGCCGAGGCGGTCGCTAGAATACGGAAACCGCTCGTCTCTGTGCTGCAGGAGGGAGGCTGCGGAGCGGGGTTTAGCCTCTCCTGCCTCGAAGGGAAGAGCGCAGAACTCTGTTGCCGAAGACCCCACCGGACACCGAGAGGGCCCGCGGGCAAAGATCCCACCTGCATCCTGGGGACAAAGGCGAGGGGACCCCCACAGGCCTGGGAGGGGGCGCCACCTGCCTCCAGCCCCCTTCCCCGGCCCCGCGCGCCCTACTGGCGATCCCGACTCTTGCGGGAGAGGAAGGGTCTTGGCAAGTCCCTCGGTACTCACACACTGGGCACCGGCCCCCAGCACTGCCTGCCTTCTCTCCCACTATCTGCGAGGTTCGTGATCCCAGTCCCGGGGCCCCACGGCTGCGACGCCCCCTCGCGCTGCCCCGGCCGCGGGGCTTGGGTACCCCGGGTTCCCGGGAGCCCAATCGCGAGCGCAGAGGCGGCTTGCACCGGGCCTGCGGGCCGCCTTGGTGGCTGGGTTCCCCACACCCCCGCTGCGAGGGGCACAGATATGAGCACCCCCGCCCGCGCGGACGGCCCGGGGGCGAGTACACCCCTGCCAGGCTGTGGGTGCTGGGCGGCCGCGCCCCGGTGTCCCCATGCCCGCTCATCCGTCCGCTTCCGACCGCTGCCGCTTCCCAGAGTGTTCGCAACTTACCAGGCGAGCGAGCCGCCAGGATCTTCCCCAGGAGGCGCCCGCAGCATCTGCGACTCGCGGAGGCGCAGGAGCCGCACAGCCAGGGAGCCGGGACACGGAGGAGCGCGGGCGGCGCCCCGGGGCAGGCAGATCCCCACTGGCGCAGCTCGCCGCCGGGCAACGCCGGTGGCAGGCGGGAGGGAGGAAGAAGGAGGCGGAGAGCTGAGCAAGAGGGAGGGGAAGAGGGGAGGGAGGTTCGGCGGCCCCTCTCCCACACTTATCAATCACGCGGCAGATCAAATATCCCTGCTGTGCACCCGGGAGGGGGACGCGCAGGTCCACAGAGGAGCCGCTGCTCCATTTCCCCGACCAGCGCCTCGGAGCGCGGCTCACTCCTCTCGGCCGCTCTTGCCTGGAACTCTGCCCAGCCCTTGCAGCTTCTACCGTGGGCTTCAGCTCGGATTCAGTCAAGGGAAATAAGGATGGCACATGGTCCGTACCACATCCAAGGGGAAACAGCCCGCGGGGTGGAAGGAAGTTGCGGGCAAGTCAAAGAGCAGCGGTTTGTCTGAGCTGGACACCCTCAGGGACGGCCGCCTTCCCTAACTAGTAAGCACCCAATCACTGGAGTTCGCAGGCAGCTATTTAAGGACCTCCTACGAGGATGGTAAACAAGGAATTTCCATATGATATAAAGCTGAGTTAGACTCATGCAAATGCGTTAACAAAAGCAAGCCCTGAGCACCGTTCCAGTCCCATTTTAACACCAATTATTTTTATTCTGAACAAGGCTGTCTGCATCTACTGAAACATTTGTTTGGCCATCTTTATTTCCTTTTTTTTTTTTTTTTTCTGGATTCTTCTTCTTCTTCTAAGTAGTAGTTCAGATTGCGATTCTATGCGAAGAAGGAAATCCGTGAAACAATCAGTGTGGTTCAACAAGGTTTTTGCCAGGAGCATCGCAGGTCCCCTCCGGACTTGCTTTCCCTGAGGCCTGCCTTCCACTCTTTTAGAGCATTATGGATAAAGCTGTGAATTTCTTAATTTAAGCCAGAATAAGGAGTTTATTTCATGGCACCAAGACATGTTACTCTCAATGGTGGTCTTAATTGAAATCATCAAAGTCCCTGGTCCTTTTCATACTCCCTGTAGGACTCTGCCAAGCCCCATTTTTGTCAGGATATCCGGAAGCTCTGTGGTGGAAAGCTGAAAAGCAGTGGAGGGAAAGAGAACAAAATTGGAGCAAAACTTAGCCGCGGAGGTAACAAATGTACAGTAGCCCCCAGGCATGGAAGACAGTTAGGATTTGTTTTCAAAGTTATTTCCTACCTCATTCCTGTCCTCACGCTTGGGAATCTCAGCCTTGGGTCTCCTCTTTCCCTTCTTGGCAGTCTTTCCAGGATGGTTTTCCAAGAAGATCATGCTGGGCCTTTTAAAGAGAAAACTAGTTACTGATAACCTTACATTATAAACATACGGAGTTTACTTTAGTTATTGTCCAAAGAATTATCATACAACCTTATCTCTGGGTTTTAAAGATCATTACTGTTTCTTTTCCTTGATTCTTGAAACAGCCTTTTTGCAATTTGCTTGCCATTCAGATAAGCAATTTTTAGAATAGCATACTTCTCACATATGCACATGGGCAGGGTATTTACAGTTACAAATTCAGAAAATTGGCTCCCTTAAAGATTTTAAAAATTATCCTTATTTATGTAAAATACCTAGTGCACTACAGCAGTGATCTGGGCACATCATATTCTTATAAACCAAGGGCAGTTACCAGAGTTATTTCTCTGGTTTTATCTGTGCCATCTTTTCATGTAGTTATTTAACAGGTGCTATAAACAACTCCAAACACACAGAGCTAAGGAGCCATTCAAATGCAGAAATAAGGAGACAGTCATGATACAGAAAGGAACCAGTTTACTGAGATGGGTAGTGTGTCTGTAGCAAAAGCGAGGCCACAAAAAAGCAATAACTTGTATGCAAATTTCACAAGAAGCATAATATTAATGAAAAAGCACATTTTATTTTAGTCCAGTAGAGTCATGTAATATATGGCATGCATCAATTTTAATTAGCCTTGTAAGCAAGTCTCACATACTCAGCAGCCTTCAGACAGCATTTAGCAGCCTGGTTTTCTACATGAGACTACACTGACATGATAGTAACATAAAATTAAAAGGAGCACACTTCTTTTTGCCAGTACAAAGTGTACAAGTAGGTGGGTAGCTTTTTTGAAAGATGTCCCGCATGCATACAAACACACAGACAAAAAGTAGTGAACAGTAGGAAACTTTCTGTGAGGGCTGTCACGTAGATAATTACAGTAGAAGAGAACTTGAAGTATGTGAAAAATTTAAATATAGGAATGCGTTTGAAAGCTGTCTTATTATGCTGACTTTCCAAAAGGTTCAGTGTTAGGGGAAAATTTCCAAATACCAAAGATACACAAACAGTTGTGTTCTTGTTAATCAATAAAATTATCGCATTAATTCTTTGCTATGGTAGTATTGAAATACAGCTCTTTGTTTCTGTGCTGTTTTCTTTCATTTGTTCACATGACAAAATAGAACAACAAGCTAAAAATTCCCTGGACATTTATAATTTCATTTTAAGAGTAGAAGAAAGCCAGAAATTTCATGTAGAATCAATGAAAAATGTGCATATGTTTCTAGAATCATAAAATACTATTTAATTACTAGCCAGAAAGCTAAAAAAGAAAGAAGAGGAAAAGGAAGAGAAAAGAAACTGCACGCAGAGTCAGTAATTCTGAGACAGATGTGCTGCTTTTTCACAGTACCGTTCCTTTTGAACCTAACATTTCAAAGAAGAGTTCCAGAGGACAGACAGATTCCTAAATAAAGAAAGAAATGTGGCACAAAGAGGACATGCCATTAATACCAGTCATTATAGTTTAAGGGATATTGTAGACTTTGGTTTCTGATGCTATGGAAAGTGCAGATATTTTTAAATTCAATTATTTTGATTATTTTGGCAGACACCGTGGCCTGATTGGAATGGTGCGCCCGGACCAAGAGGAGTCTGTCTTTTAATCAATCACATCCAAGCCCTTGGAGCCAAACAACCTGGGTTCAAATCCCAGTCTTGCTACCTCACCATGGAGTTAGGGCATGCCCTGGGCCTCTTTAAGTCTCTGCCTGTGTAAAACCAGTTGCTGAATCAGAAAGGCCAGATGCTTTGAACTCTTGAAAATTGCTACACCGTACACATATGTGCAGGTGAACCTTGAACCTAAAGTTTACTTACTTTGATTTCTAAAAATAAATAAATTATAAAATACATGATGAGTTTGGCAAGAAAACAGTATTTTAATTTTAGTTGAATAATAGAATCAAGATTAGAAAAATTTAAGGTTCTGCTTGGGGCATTATAATTCAAATATTCAAAAAAATCCATCAAAACATTTCATCATTTTTTCCCCAGATGGTTTCTCATCCTCAACACTGTTAACCTATTGGACCAGATAATTCTTATTGGATGGAGCTGGGGGTTTTGTGCCATGTCATACAAGAGTGTTCACAGCATCTGTGATCCATGCATGTGCATGGTGTATGTATATGCATCATTTATGTACGTATATGTAATATGCAAATATGTGTATGAATACCCTATTGTTTTTTAACACTTGAAGCATGCAAGGCAAAGTGTGTGTATTATAAGTTAGTAGCGCAGCAAACACAAGGTCCCAGCTGGCTTATGCTTGGCTTTGCTATGTACCAAGGTCAAGGACCATCACTGGAGGCTGGTGACGCATACCGCTATTGCTTCTCAGGAAGAAATGTGTCTGGCACCATGACCCTAGGCACAGTCATAGATGGAAATAAGAGTTTTCTGAAACAATATCACCCTCATCATAGTCTTGTACTTCATAATATTCCATTGTAGTTTGATTTTAAAGTTTTCTGGCTCTGACCTACAAAATTGATTTCAGGAGTGATGAAGAGATTGTGTCTCATGGTTTGAACACGGTAGTGTACTGTATTGGGCAGGAAAGGAAAGAAAATGGGACAGAAAGAAGAGGAGGAGGAATAGACAGAATGGTAGAGAGAAAGAAGTATGTGTGTCACAAAGGTAGAGGGAAATGCATGGTCCTTGACAGATTATGTCAAGTGCCACCTAGCAATGACTACTGTTCCCTAAGGGTGCTAGCTTTGCCCCCTTGTTGGCTGAGTCCAGTGATTCATTATTCAGAACCATATTTAAGCTTTCTGGGCCTGGGAGTACATATACATAGCAGAAGTCACAGATTGCCCAGGTAAGGCTTGGGACAGCATTAGTACATATTTCCTTTATCCCGACACATTCTATCCTATTAATCTCACTGCAACTGGATGTTTTATTTTGGTCTGGAGTTACAACCTAATATGTTCAGGAGGAAAACAAATTTATTGGGCCCGACATTGCACTTTATTGGAATGGTGTA